TGCCCCAGACAGTGTCATGGAATTTGCCCATTGCTCATGTAAAAAAAAGTCAATGCACAAAAGGCCAGTGTAGCTGTCTTGAAAAAACTTGTGCAATTGCACCAACTGTTAAAACATTCCAAGTGAAGGGCCAAAAGTGATGATTCAGAAATCGAGGATTAACTAATGTAAAAACTGACCATCACGTACATGTACGTCTATCTAAATAAGGAATAAGATTGTCACTTGAGAAACTTTGGATCACACAGTCTGCTTCCCATCCACTTAAGTATTTCCAAATTTGAATCAATAGGACTTGTGTTTAACTAACTTACATTGTTATAGATGTACACAACTAAAAAACACCAAATTTCAATCTTCAATTGAAATGGACACCGTTGACTTTGTTGCGGGATTTTTCCACTTTTTCAGCAAGGGGATGGGAAATAATTTTACCGTGTGTTTTCCTTTTTGACAAAACTTTTTTTTTTTTAAGCGCTGACCGTGAAGCCAAAGAAGTTTTTTGTGGTAATTTGTAAGGGCTTAAAACAGGTTTATTACTCTTCGGTAATGTTCGTGCTTACAAGTGTTATTTGTTGTTGATCAAATAGACTCTATTAAGACATCATTGAGAGCGTTTTGTTACTGTAATTCCTTTTTGGGGGGGGATGCAGAAGATTGTCCTCCAAGATGCTATGCAAAAGGCCTAAAAGGCTCTAGGTTGATGCCTTTGTGCAGAGAGAAATGTTTCACATTTTATTTTAGAGGTATTCACCAATCCTTTCATACATTGTACCATGTTCTCAACAGCAGTTCTGGTTTCTTTGAAGGTTGATGACATGTTTCGTGTTCTCCTTCGACCCTTCAAATGATTTGAAATTTAGACAACGGAACTCACTAACGGATGTAGTTTTCAGATGCCAATGGATTCGCCGTTGAAACATTCATGTCTGTTCACCGTTTTGCAATGACTAACCTTTGTTGAGATGATATGAAGAAAAGAGGGGTGCCAGGTTGCAACATTCCTTCCTGGAACGTGTTTAATACTTAAGACAGTTGACAAAAAATCAAAAGTACATGTAATTGCAGTATATTTTAATCCTCAAAAATATTGGCTCCACCAGAGACACAAACCGCAAACACTGTATTATAATCTTTGCCAATCACAGTAATTATTTCTCAAGTCTTTTTAATTACTGTTTACCGTATTGTTTGTTGTATGAATAAATATCTTCAAAGACTGAAGTTATAAAGCCCCGTGGTCATGTTTATTTTTTCATTCAGACTAAACTCATTCGTATTTGTGTCGGACACTTTGTTGAATGTTATTACATCATGAATCAGAAATACTCTGTAGTTTTAACCAAAAAGAAAATTGAATAATCAATAATACCCTATTAAGAATTTCAGAAAAGAGCAATACATGTACATGTATTCTAAATGAAAATAAAAACAAAAGGAGGAAACATTTGCACGGAGGCTGGGAAAGGGCTTGTAAAATCTTCCTTGATTTTCAATGGGATGGAAAATTTGTTATTTAAATTAATTATTGGAGCATTAAAAGTCACCCCAAGTTCCTTTTTATTGAGTCTTGGCCCTGTAGAGACCCTTTTTAGCAAGCAACAGCAATGAAACAATCTTTCCCATTGAAAGTGTGCACAGTTTTCCAATCCCGGTCAATAGAGGGCGCCCTTTTTTGAACTGCTGATTAAAATGCAAATATTTAAATGATTGGTCACTTTGGGATTGTGGATTTTGGTTTTTTGTGATCCATATGGTCTCAGCTAATAACCTGCAAAAATTCACTTAGATTTGAGAGGTGCGCCACGAAAATCACTTTCTGAGCACATTTTGCAGCCATGCCCCGTGGTCTATAAGGCCCATACATGTAGTTCAAGGGATATTGTCACCCTGTGCACAAACCCTGGACTGGTCTGAAACGTCTAAGTGTTTTCCTAGTAAAAACTTCAATATTTTCCCTGCTAAATTTGACTTTTTTAGGACATATTATCACTTTCTGATGGCTGATCGGTCACTGATGGGAAAAATTAGTAATGGCCTTGCTATTTGCTAATGACGATGTGTTTCCTAAATTATGTATTTTGTTTTTGCCTATGGCAAATTCGTTGGCGATTGTGTAGTGTAGGGCCCCTGTTTTGTTTTGATCAAATTTATGTCAAAAATGTTTTTTATTGCTTAAAAATCACCTTTACAATTAAAGCAGACTTTTGTCAATTCTAATGACACCCGTTTTGCAATTTTGAACAGATTCTTGGGGTAGAAATCACGATTTTCCTGCGCAGTTTGTGCCTATCCTTGCAATTCAGCGCGCCGTGCGTGCTCACGGTACATCGCGCAGTCATCGCCATCTTTATTTTCGGGTTGCGTGTTGTCGCCGTGCTGTCATCATAATTTAACCCCCAAATTGGAAAGAATGTTACAACCTGACGCTGCTTTTTTCTTCATATCTGGGACTGAGAAACATGTCCAATTTTGGAAATACTTAGAAAATGTTCTTGACTCTCCAAAGACATTGTACACAACCGCCGAAGTAGCGTCAGTTTGCAACATTCTTTCCCCTAATAAAAATCAAAACCCTGCCCTCTATCTTAGTCTGAGTAACTTGGACTCAACTTATCGCCTTTTTAACATTCAGATGTGGTCTGGCCATAGTAGGGTCCAAGCTTAACCGCTGCCATTGCTCGACACAATTCTGTACTTGACACAAAAACCCAGACTGGGACCGCGAATGCATGAAAATGTGCCAAAGTACTGACATTTTTTTACTCACCATTCAGCTAAATTAACGCCCACACAACACGTACATCAAAATGCTATAGTTACAAGCATGTCGCCTGGGAACGTTGAGGAAGATGTAGTGAGTAAAAAGCTTGCTCACTGTTTTTTTTATTGAGCACCAACTTTTGCATGATATGGAAACCGTAAGTTTTGGGACTCTCATACACAGTATTGAGAGTCCCGAATTTTCGGACTACCAAAAACCCAACATTGCCCAACAAAAGCATCAGATGTCACCCTCAACACGGCCTCCAAATAACAAAATATGTCACCTGAGGTTCAAGTAGAGATCGATCATTAAGATCGAGGTACTAAAGTTTACTTACGATCCGGATGAAAAGTGAATCGTGAACACGTTAAATTTCCGACTCGTGTTTGAACAATGCGATGTGGTCATGCCCAGCGTTCATTCGATGGTCCCCGTATCCCGTATATTCCGTTACCGAACATGATGCTTCGATAATGATAATGAGTAGACTGGATCTCGTTTGTAAACACAAGTGCATTTCGAATGATAATAGGGAGTCTGGAAAATGGGTTTTTTTGTTGTCAAAAACTGCCCCTAATTTTCATATTTAGTCATTCAGCATTTTCTTTGCAATTGATTACACATATGTGAAGGGGTACAAGCCTGTTAGACTGATTCTCTTACCTTACAATCCCCAAAGTCTATTGCAATGTTAGCTTGAGTAACTCTACCTCTAGAATTAGAAGGCTCTGTCAGCCTTCTAAGCATGGTGATTTTCGGGGGTCAGTACGCTATGGCTTTTGGAAATGCACTTTGATAGATGAAATTCCTTTGTCTGGAATTCAAATTGCTGAATACAAATCCACCCAAAACGTTGCCATGGTTGATCCATAACTCTGAAATATTTTAGAACTATTGTCATTTGGATCTTCGGACAATATTTTTGGTGGAAAATCTGAGTTTTTACTCACCAGCCTTGTGGTTTCGATCTGACAAATCCACGGGCCATGTTCTTGTGTATTAACGTACGTTGCGCGTGTGCTGATCTTTGTGTGACCTCAGCAGGTCAACCCTACATTCGGCTGGCTGAAAACGCTGCGTTGTATGGTGACAAGTTATCAGTTTTGGTGGACTGTTTACTGATGGATCTTTTCATCCCATGTTTCTGTCAAATTTAAAAACAGTCCACCAAAACTGACAACTTGTAACCATACAGCGCAGCGTATTCAGCGTGCCAAAATGACGTACATAATAATTATATGTTGCACGATGCAAATCATACAATCCCCCTCTATCCCAAATGGTCCAGCTGAATGTAGAGTTGACCTGAACTCTGCATTGTGAATCGCCCGAATTGAGCAAGTGTCTCAATGCAATTGTCATGCATGTACAAGTTATTGGAGAGTGCCCCTATTTGTAAACTACTTGTAGCTAATTTCAATTTCAAATGCTACAGGTCAATTTCAATAAATTTGTAGCCACTGCAGATACAGTTCTTGTTGGAAATTGAAATCAAATTTATCCATGAATAAGCAGGAAACATATGGGCGACTTTAAGAGAATATACATTTGCAAACATCGAAAAATAAAAGTAACAAGTTTTTACGAAATACCTTACTAGGATGTTGGTAAATGACAGTCTAAAGCATCCTGTAAAATTATGGCACCTGGTGTGAAGTCATTTTCCAGAAAATGGTATTTTTGTATACAATGGCCGACCACCGTTGGAAAAACCTGACTATTTTTTAACTACTGCTCCAAATTTACCGTTTTTTTTTTCAGTCCAAATTTTGTTTGCTATTGGTGATATGTTCATGAACGGGTGCAGGCCAGCTAGACTGGTTTCCCTTACCTTACAATTTTCCGACATCTATAAATTGATCCATTTCATCTTTAGTGAAGTCAGGGAACTAGACTACTTGAACATTTTTTCCCCCCAGCATTTTCGAACATAGAACTTCAAACATGTCATTGTAACAATATTTGATCTATTATACATGTACTTACCCCTCAAATAGTTCATTTCTGAAAATTACAGCAAAAGCCAATGATGTACATTCCCTTTAAAGAAAGAGTAATGGCTCATTGTTTATTTTTGTGTCAGTGGTGTCTTTCCTAATGTAATAAATATTATGCAACAGGATGTTAGCAGACAGGATTGGGTAACCTTTTGTGCATTTCCTGTTAATCATCAGGAAGTATTGTTTAGCTAGAAGGATCTCGATTTCCCTTTTTTTCTTTCTTTTTCATACAGTGCTTTGAACACATGCTGTTGATCACGCATTTGGAAAATATCTGGTTATATTGTTGCGTGCACTCTACATGTACATCTCCTCAGACTGTACGAAACAAATTGGTTGTTACATGTTTCTGTACATGTATTGTGGTAGCGTCCAGCTTGTGATTGTAGCTGAGCTGATGGCTAGAGTCCTTCTTTGAAGAGGTATGTTTATGTACAATGAATCTAGGTCTATTTACACAAATACAAATGAAATAGCACGAAAAGTGGGCCTTAGTGATCTGTAGCAAGACGAAAGCTGCATGCTCATTGCTGTTATTTTTCTCTTAAATTGTTGGTAGAAACATCGCTTTATAAGTGGAAAACGACATTGAAAAGGTAATAGGCCAAGTATTTTTCACTGCAAGGGTGTATTCTAAGATGGAATTTTGCGTCGGGGTCATATGAATCAAATACGGTTTTGCCCTTCGGGTGATATAAACCAAAATATTTTTCACTGCAAGGGTGTATTCTAAGATGGAATTTTGCGTCGGGGTGATATAAATCAAATCAGATTTTGCCCTTCACCGACATGTTTTCCAACTTTCACTCGGGAGGCAACACACTGAGTGTGACGCAGCTGATGTGCGTTATGCAAGTTGATGCTCAAAATGCCAATGCATGTTGCTGGTCTGCAGGAAATGACGTCATTTGAGAGAGACCAATTTGCCTGTGCCCACTGGTGGAACAGCAAACGCAAATGCCTTTGGTTCAGAGCAACTCTGGAATACCAGCCTTAAACAGGTGTTAAAGAAGCAACTTTGGGTTTTACATCAGGAGTAGCAATGTGTCTGAATAACAATTCACTTTAACTTAAGATTCCAAATTTGGCCATGGTGTATTGAATCAATCTTCATATTAAAGGCAGGCAACTAGCAATTACACAATTTTACATGTAGGTGGTCTATTTATTGGTTTGTATTTTGTCTCAACAGCACAGTATGTCTGAGATTGAGCGTTGTCTTGGCAGTCTGCTGGCAGGATCTCCTCCTTCTGTTCCCGTTCCAAAATATGATTTCTTCTTCAAAGCTCCTGCCAAGACTCATCAGCGCCCTCTTGTACTGAAAGACAACCTGTCAATAATAGTTGCTGCTGTGATTTTTGATCAGGAGGAAAGAGTAGTATTGATTCAAGAAGCTAAAGCATCATGTCGTGGTCGCTGGTATCTACCAGCAGGACGGATAGAGCCCAATGAAACACTGCAGGTAATGATGCAATATGTTTAATACTACATTGTACATAACAATGTACATGGTTGTCCAAAAAAAACACCAAAACAATAATGGAATGACATACTTCCACTACCTTGAGACTCAAACCATATACCAATGCATGGAGAAAGCCACACAATATTGCATTGTAGATTAGCATATTCATTAGCGTCACTCAGCGTGTTTTGACGTGGGTCTCGGTATCGACCAATGGAAGCCGGCAAAAAGGATGATATTTATCAATTAATAACTCGTGCAGGAGGCTTTTTTTCAAAATTTGTACTGCACACCTTAATGGATAGGAACCTTATTAATCAGAGATGAAACTTTTCTGATTTTAATCGGAAAACCGACTTTTTGAATTTTCCAACGAAATTCCGATTTTTTTACAGTGTGTTCCACAAAATTTGATTTTGTAAGGATTTTTCTCACAAAATGTCATTTTATTTCCATCATAATTTCGAAGAAAAGTCAATGAAAAGTTGATGGAAATGGCACGTTAAAATCATCGTGAACGTAGTTTTAATCTCTTTCACCAGTCGTTATTGGAGTGTTTCAACGGTAGAAACACAGGGCATAACACTAATCGGAGCCTTCTCCGGCTGGACAAAAGGTTAAACATTGACAGGCGACATGGAAAAATCACTGTGTCGCATATATGCAATGCGAATATGCGAATATGCAGTGGTACCAGCGTACGTACCGCACCGTGCCGTCCGCTAGCACATGGCCGGCCGGGACGGGTAGCCTTGTGAACGATCCAGTGGATAAAATCATTGTGTTGTGCGATTTTCGGAGGTTTCAAATATAGTTATACAAAATGCAATGCTTTAAAAATCGTGATGATTATCTCGAGGATAGGGAAGAGAGCATTAGCTAAACTCCCGTGTATGTATGTATAGCTGGACATGGGTATTCAGTACAGTACATGTAGATATTTAAAGTGAATCCATGGGTGTGTTTTGAAAATGTTGTGTTGTTCCATAGGAGGCCATCCAGAGAGAGGTACTAGAAGAAACAGGCCTGGAGTTTCAACCATCAACAGTGGTATGGGTGGAAAGCAACCATTTATTTGGTTACTGGATGAGATTTACTTTCGTTGGATGTATTACAGGTATGTGCATCTTCAGCTTCTCTGCTTTTGTCACTTCTCTTTTAGGCTAAGCAATTTGAGTAATTTAATATTTGCGTACTCAAATTTACAGTTGATTGGTATTGAAACATTTTAAATGGGCCAATGTGGAAATTGCGTGCGCCTTGTAAGATGTGGAGGCATGGTATGGGACCTTAGTAGTGACACAAGCAGCAAGCTGACATTTTGAAAAGTGATCAGAGTAATGGAATTTATTATTTTATATCACGTTTCCAAGTAGTAAAAAATAAAGCAGTATTGAATACTTTCGGAGAAGTACCTGGATGACTATGCAATATTGTTTTATTATTACAAAGTTGCTGTGGATTTCGCTGATTCCCGCTGAATCAAGAGCATAGAAATTCACAGTTGTCAACCAGTCAACAGAGCATAGCCTTCGCACGTCAACAGAAATGGCAGATTCCAGCAGCGTAAGATTCGCTTTGGTATTAAAGCATAGAAGGATACATTTTGAGAAATAAAGATGCAAAAAATACCTTGCAAGCAACCAAGAAGGGGGTAAATATTCTGCAAGTGTGTCTGCAAAGAAGAACCTATCAACATTCAATATGCAGCCACCTTTATGCATGGATTGAGTATCAACTTCTCAAAATGTCTTCTGTCGGCTGAAACCTGTCAGACTCTAGACTCCCTCAACCTTCTGCGTCAGCCATGCCAGACTCATCATTGTCAAGGTCTAAAATCGACACTAAAGTCTCCCAAGAAAGTGAGGTGGAGTAAGTAGGCCCATACATGTATTTACAATTGTTCACCGCAACCTCAGATACATGTTTATTGTTGGTTCGGCCCCACAAACGCAACCACAAAAATGTCAAAGTACAAGGATTGACAGTAAACCACACCCCAGGAGAAGTCCTCTGAACCTCATTCAATTGACAAGAGCCAAACCTCATACCAATCTGAATGTTCATACCTGGAACGCCAACTAACTGCGTATCAAGACCGAGATACTCGTTGATTATATAGAGAACGATGTTGAAATCATGTTCTTAACTGAAACTTGGATTGCTGACAACGACACAGTCATTATTGTGGAATGTACTCCTCCAGGTTATGATTTCCTTCGCATGCCCCATGGAAAACCAAATCCTGGTTTTGGCATTGGTGTTCTTTTCAAAAAGCCACTCAATCTGCTCATTACTCATTCTGCTCATCACTCATTCCACTCATCACTCATTCCAGCCTTGAAACCCTGTACTTTGAACACACTTGCATCACAAACAAGTGAAACTCCATTCTGTTTGTAGTCATCTATCGCCCTCCGCCATCCCGTGCTAATGGCTTCAAGACTTCAGACTTTTTGGTTGAGTTTGAGAAATTCCTTGATGAACTTTCCATCCTCACACGTCAGTTGGTGCTATTGGGGGATTTTAACTTGCATGTCAATACTCCGGAAAAATGGGATGCAAAGCAATTTCTCTTGACTTTCTTTGCCTATGGTTTTCACCAACACATTACTGGTCCCACTCACAAACATGGCCACACTCTTGATTTATTGATCTCTCACTTCAGGGATGAAACTTTTCCAATTTTAATCAGAAATCCGACTTTTAAATTTTCCAACGAAATTTCCGATTTTTTTACAGTGTGTCCCACAAAATTTGATTTTCTAACAATTTTTTCACAAAATGTCATTTTATTTCAATCATAATAAGAAAAGTCGATGGAAATGGCACGTTAAAATCATCGCGAACGTAGTTTTAATCTCTTTCACCAGTCGTTATTGGAGTGTTTCAACGGTAGAAACACAGGGCATAACACTGATCGGAGCCTTCTCCGGCTGGACAAAAGGTTAAACATTGACAGGCGACATGGAAAATCACTGTGTCGCACGTGCATGTGAATATGCAATGGTACAGCTAGCACATGGCCGGTAGGGGACGGGTAGCCTTAATTGTGAACAATCCAGTGGATAAAATCATTATGTTGTGCGATTTCCGGAGGTTTCAGATTTAGTTGTACAAAATGCAGTGCTTTAAAAATCATGATGATTATCTCGAGGATAGCGCAGAGAGCATTAGCGAAACATTTCACTGGCATTTGTTGGAAGAGAAAGACGATAATGCCTGATTTTTTCCCATGTATGAATGCAAGTGGAGTAGTGGAGTTGTGTGGTTGAATCATGGACATGATTGAAGCACCATGAACGGTGCCCTTGTCTTGGGACTTTTCCCTCGACTTTCTCAAGGAAGAAGTGAACTTCTTTATTGATGACTCCATTACTCTTACTGTAATTCAGGCATTTTATGCAATGAAAACCCTGACCTTTTTTTTTCATCGTAAAATTTTGTTTGAATCGAAAATAAAGCAGGAGTTGGTGTCCGGAAATTGGGCATGAAGTGTATTGTACATGTACATGCATGTACATGTACATGTGTGTAATGGCAGCGCGGCCCATATTTCGGACATGTATTTTTGTTTGGCCTATTTTCCGATTTTTTTTGCCAAATGCCAGTTTCCTCTCTGTCACTTCGACAAAAACATAGTTCAAGAATAGCACACAAATCCAATTCTGTACTCTGATCATCCCATTTTCAGGTGCATCTTAAGGTATGAGACACCACCTCCCATGAAGGTAACAAAAACATCTCGTGAATGTGAAAATATCAACTTAGAGTTGTTCCAGAATCTTCTTGATGAGCGCCTCAGAGATAATGCACAGACTGAAGATGATCTCAATCTTCTGTCTGAAATGCACAAGTCCATCACAACATCCGTGCTTGATGAGATCTGCCCTGTCACAACCAGATTTCGCACAGTCAAGCCCAGGCTACCGTGGTATGACAACACCATCCACGAAGAAAAGCGAATCCGTAGATGGCGTGAGCGCAAAAGTCGTTTAAACAGAGACTACGACGCATTTCTAACTCAAAAGAATAATGTACAGAAATTGATTGCTGATGCCAAGAAAGCATACTTCTCTCCAATGCCAGTTCAAAGGACATGTACACCACAATACGGGGTCTTATTAACACCTGTCCAAAGACATTGCCAGTTTGTGACTCTGAAGCTGAACTTGCAGATAGCTTTATGTCCTTCTTCATTGATAAAGTTGAGCAAATTAGATAACGGTTGTACCTGAAACTTCATTACAGTATGTATGTAAGTTCAGTTAGATCCTTGCATTAATCTGCCCAATTTCAAGATGCTCAACAGACCCAACATTGAGAAACTCATTAGGCAATTTCCAAGCAAGTCTGTTCACTAGACACGTTACCATCTTGGCTTGTCAAGCAATGCTTGTCTAGTTTGTTACCAATCATAACAAGAATTGTTAACGCCTCACTTTCATCTGGTGTTTTCCCTGAAAAATTCAAACGGTCCATCATCACCCCAGTTCTTAAAAAACCCACCCTTGATCATAACGCCCTTAAGAGTTATCGACCTGTTTCAAACATCAAGTTCATTGGGAAAGTAATTGAAAAGGCTGCGTCATTACAAATCATGTCGACAACAACAATCTTGGTGAGAAGTTCCAATCAGCATATAAAACCCACCACAGTACTGAGACTGCCTTGCTCAAGGTGAAAAGTGACATCCTGCAATCCCTAGACAAAAACAAGGTTGTTCTCCTGGTTTTACTTGACATGTCAGCTGCATTTGATACCACTGATCATGGAGTACTTCTTGACAGACTTGAGACTCATTTGGTATTACAGGTGTGACTAAATCATGATTCATGTCCTACCTCAGTGTTCGTCCTACCAAAGTGCCCATTAAAACTGTTCAGTCTTTTGAGCATGTAATAGGCCCACAGTGCTTCACTATGTACATGTACACCCATCCAGTTGGTAATATCATCAGAGAACACAATCTCAATTATCACGTTTATGCAGACGATACCCAGCTTTATACAGAATTTGATCCAAAGGTTGCCGGTGATTCTGATCGTGCAAGTACTAAACTTTCCACTAGTTAAGATCAATACATGTACTTGGATGGTTCATAACAGGTTGCAGCTTAATCAAGATAAAACTGAATTCTTTGTTTTTGCTTCCCCAAAGGTCATCAACACATTATCACATCTTCAATTAAAACTTGGAGACATCTGCATTATAATCCCTCCACTGACCACTGTAAAGAATCTAGGGGTTACACTTACACTTGACTCAGCCCTATCCATGACCAATCACATTAATACAATTTGTAGAAGTGTAAATTTCTATCTTTGTAATCCTTGGCGGATTCGGCGGTTCCTCACTCAAGATGCGTGCCATAGTGCTGTCAGATCTTTGGTCCTTTCTCGTATTGACTATGCCAATGCACTGATGTACGGTGCCAGTCCACATCAGATGCGTACAGTGTCTTTAAAACAAAGCTAGGCGTCTTTTTTTTTTCATGCGGTAGAGAATGCTCATCAGATCAGTTACTCCGCTTACTTCACTGGCTCCCTGTCAAAGAAAGAATCATGTTCAAAATTATTTTGTACGTATCAAAGTCAATGACCTAGTTACATCACTGACAACCTCACCCTGTAAAACATGAATGGATGTGAAGATCACAGGAGACTCCGCTCTTCTTCTGATGTCACCCGCTTGTTCCTCGTTTCAACAAGAAAGCCGGTGTTAATTCATTTTTTTTTTTTGCCCCAAAATTGTGGAATCAACTGCCGATTGATATCAGGGTAAGCGTCTACTGCGATATTCAAGCGCCTACTCAAAACACACTTATTTTCTAATGTTTGATCTTTGTTGTTGTTTTTGTATATAATTTCTTTGTAATTTTTCAGTAAATGTTTGCTTTTTATTGTGAGGTGCTGTGATCTTTGTAGAGCACCATATAAATGCTTGGTATTATTCCACTGAATGCTATATAATAGGGCGACAGATTTTGCTAACTGCATCCACATTGGGGCGACACACCTTATAAAGGCAACATATATAACTGTCGCCCTTTTGTGACAACGACCCTTAGGACAAGGAATTTTATTGTTGCAAACCATCTAGATCAATTCCTCATGGTCCAATTAGTAAAAATACTGAATTTCCTGGATAAAGGATAAGGTAAACTTGGGTTAGGTTACAGTTTAGGTTTGTGCACAAGTCCAACTTCCATGTAATCGGAAGCAGACTTTTTTTTTTTTACCGAATAGTTGTAAAATGAAATAAAAAAATAGAATGTTCAAAAATTGCTGAAGCCTTGGCCAAGGCATTCGTTATTATTCATCCATACACGGTAAATGATCGGTGGAATATCCTCGCTATGCAGTGCATTAAAAATACAGCGCGAACAGTGACCTTGTACGGCCACTACTTACACAAATCATTTTGATCCAGACAAACGCCTTGGTCCAATCGTCCATGTGAGGATTTGAAGGTGGTGCTCATTATGCTGATAGCCTAAGCTGACCTTAAAAGTCGTTTTCTTATTGGACGATCGTTGCGTGGAAACTTGCATAGCGGTGACAGTTCATATAGCGATAACGTGTGACATGTACTGTACATAATACATACACACGTTGTGTGCCTCACATTACACACAACACCAATGCACAAAAAATGTGGTTTCTGACACGTCCACAAAAGGCGAATAGCTGCAAATAATTTGAAGACGTTGGGATTTACCAAGGTGTGATTGGACACTCCACATATTAGCCCCGCCTACCCTTTCTGTATTCGCATATGAGGTCGTGCGCTAGAAATCTAGCGCAAAATAAAGAAAAACATAAGCTTTCGCGGACGATTAAACCAAGGCGTTCGTCTGGATCCAAATGATTTGCATAAAATAGTGGCCGCATGAGGTTGCTGTTCACGCTGTATTTTTAATGCACTGCATAGCGAGCGAGGATATATGCGCCGATCGTTTACCGCATACGGACGAATAATGACGAACGTCTTGACTATAAGATTTTCAGAAATATTACTTTGACTTTGACTTTTCACAATGAGCATTATGTTGAATGCTGAATAACTGGCATACATGTACCTTTCACAGGTAGATCGCATTTGGTTTTTTTTTTAAAGGAGGAAGACTCAAAACCTTAGAAGAAGCAGATAAAGAGTCCTTACAGGCAAGGTGGATGAGCATTGAGGACATACAGGGCCAAGTTGGCATCAGATTGAGGTATGAACACGTTTATTTTGACCAGTGTCACAAAAATAGGGAATATAATGCTATTTTTAAAATCAGTTTATTCAGATATATATATTTGGCTTCAATTCTGTTGTAAGCCCAAAGTAACATGAAATGGACTGATTACAGTGGAACATCACTATACCAAACACCACTATATTGTCTACTACATTGTCCTTGGCTCCCGATTTTTGTGTACAAAACCAACCGAATATTGTTGTTGAAAACCGTCAACAGAAGAGCGACAAGTGGCTAATATTTCCTGAAGGCATAGAAGGGGAAAGCCGCCCTTCAATGTAGGTAGTAAGCTCAAAACTGTGTAATTACATTATTCAATTGTCGGCACGTGTTTGAAGTCGTCTTTCAGTAACTACATGTACCAGGGCGTGCAGGGTGAAGTTATGAAGGGCGCCGTTTATTGAAAAGTGAGTACCGGAGCACCAGCAGCTTAAAATCGCTATACTGTACAATCGCTATTACGAACATTTTCTGTGGATCCCGCGATGTTTGTTATAGCGGTGTTCCACTGTATATTGTTACAAATCTTAAGTAGGGTGCATGACAACAAACACTTGTACAAATTTCAACTGGATGGATACTATACTATACATTTTGAGGAAGCAGAGAAATTGTTTAAACCTTTTTGGGGGGATTTGCAACCGATTGAACCACCTTACTTGTATTTTTCTTCCAAAGATACTGCAACAGAAAATGTGTGTAGCGTTTTTCTTCTTTCTTTTGTATTTGTCGCAGGCACCTCTGGTGTGGGTAGGCTATACTGCCAGTATAGTTGATTGACACTTAGGCATGCCAACCTACTTTTTGTGGGCCAGAAAATAGATTCTCAAATGTGTCTCTGTTATTCAGCTAGCGTGGGAAGGGTTGGCCAGACAGTAAAGGCGGGTCCGGCGAGGTAATGCAATAAGTTCAGTCGTGAGTTACATGCTGTGCAGTCAGCTGTGGTTTTGTTGTTCGAGTTGATTTAGCAGAACTGTGTCAGAGAATCTCTGTATGCGTCCCCTCTTTGGCATTTGGCGAGACTAGGAGGATCACTAGGGATCACGTTACAATAACATTTAAAGTTGAATAATTGTATTAGGGTATTTGATGCCAGTGCTATTTTGACTTTTGAGCTATCTGTCATTTAATTGGTAGATACATTTATGTTTTTTCTATGTATGTCTTTTTTATTCTGTCCTATTCAGAGCCCATGATGTGATGTACTTGATACAGACAGCCTTGGCATATCTTCAGAGGGATGCTAGTCAGAGACACACTCCTATCATGCCTGTACTCAACCCACATAAGCACATGTGCATCAGAGTCATTCTTATCAAACGTCTACTGTGAGTGGAACCAATGGGAGACTTTTGAGACGGTGGTGGTAGCAAACATACCGGTCCTTTTACCATTGTTTGCGTCATATTGAGCGTGCACGCTTTAGCTTAAACATGACGTAAACAATTGAAAAGGACCGGTGTGTTTGCTGTCACTGACATCTCAAAAGTCTCCCATGGAGTTGTTATATTATTGATAAGTCTAATTCCCAGACTGTACCTGGTATAGCCCCAGATATAAGACGAAGTGCAGCATGTAAGACAGTCGCCAGTACCAGACTACAGATGAACAGCTTCCTCTATTTGGTCATGTGCTTGCATAGAGTCAGCTTAAATCCAGAGGTAGCTTTGATCAGAGTGTAGCACCTCTTTAAGAAGTAAAATAAAGTTGCGCCAGAGTCACCTTATGGAAAGAAAGGTTTGCCAAGCTCCCATCAACCACCATAATGGCTTTAAATGCAACAGAGGAACTCCCACCTGAAGCTGACTCAAGTTGGATTGAATGGAAATGCATGACCAGACTGTGGACTGGCACAGGGCGCTCTAAGGTGACTCTTCACAGGTGGGGATATGTGGACAGCGAAGATGTGACATGTGAATGTGGTACTGAACCACAGACTATGCCACATTTGCTGAGCTGCCCTCAACTGGAGCAACCGTGCACAGCTGAAGACTTCGCAGTATATAATGGTAGTGCTAAGCACTGCATTCAGCTTTGGCTGAACTGTGTTTAGCCTGTGTGTGGATACAATAAGAAGAAGAACCTAGATATTGGCTCCGTGAACAAGTACTCCTTCAACGGCCAGAAAAGGAGAGTTAGGGGAGACCTAGACTGGTTCCCGGTCCATCCACTGCATATTTTTGAATGATCCAAAGTTATTGGGGGCAGGGATTAGTCTGGGAGACCATAGCAAGATGAATTTGAATGTACCCCCGCACTGACGATGCCTGACGCTCACTGACACTGTGGCTAATAGCTTCAGGAAGTCGTGTGTACTTTGCATGAAAACCAGTAGAGTACAGTACACACAGACACTTTGTGACCTGTCCAAGGGGCTCTCAGAAGTGGTAAAAATGCGCCCTCTTTGTTGGCGCACGGAGCCCATAATGGATGTTTTCCATGTCTTGAATTTGTTTTCAGACTGACTTTAATACTGAATATACATTGTACAATGTTGATGTCCCCTAACATGGCAAAACCCTTAACTTGGGGCACTTTTTTGGATCAAGCTCCCATATGGTAGCAGCGTAAACTACTATACAGTGAAACGTCGCTATAATGAACATCGTGGGATCCACAGAAATTGTTCATAATAGCGATCTTTCGGTATAGCAATTTTCTTTTGACCAGTGTTATAATGTAGTTGGATTTACAAACCACACGCGGAGTAACCAATTTTGTCAATTCATATTTTCAATTTTGCAAGCAGAACTTCGCAATGTACTGTATGCCCAGGTACTTGCTGAAAGAGGACTATGAACATGTGTTACTATTGAATCGTGTAATTACAGTATTTGAGCTTACACGGGTGGATTTTCCCTTCTATTCCTTTGGGAAATAATAGCCATTTGTTGCTCTTCTGACTAGACTATCGAACAGGTTACCCGTGTGCTTGTCTACTATGCATTCACTTAACCCCAACCCCCTTGAGAGTGATTTTTTATTAGGAACCTTCTTCACTTTTGCAAAATCCAACACCATTTGCAGAGATGAAACTTTTTTGATTTTAATCGGAAATCCGATTTTGGAATTCTCCAACGAAATTTCTGATTTTCTTACAATGTGTCCCACAAAATTTGATTTTGTGTAACGATTTTATCACAAAATGTCTTTTATTTCAATCATAATTTCGAGGAAAAGTCGATGAAAAGTCGATGGAAATGGCACATTAAAATCATCGCGAACGTAGTTTAAATCTCTTTCACCAGTTGTTATTGGAGTGTTTCAACGGTAGAAACACAGGCCAACACTGATTGGACTGCCTTTTCCGGCTGGACAAAAGGTTGAACGTTGACAGGTGACATGGAAAAATCACTGTGATGCACGTGCGTGCATATGCACAAAGATGCATGCAATGGTACCAGCGTATGTACCGCACCGTCCGCTAGCGCATAGCACATGGCCGGTCGGGAATGGGTAGCCTCGTGATCAATCCAGTGGATAAAATCATTATAATGTGCGATTTCCGGAGGTTCCAGATTTAGTTATACAAAATGCAATGCTTTAAAAATCATGATGATTATTTCAAGGATAGCGAAGAGAGCATTAGCGAAACATTTCACTTGCATTTGTTGGAAGAGAAAGACGATAATGCCTGATTTTTCCCATGTATGAATGCAAGTGGAGTAGTGGAGTTGTGTGGTTGAATCATGGACATGATTGAAGCACCATGAACGGTGCCCTTGTCTTGGGACTTTTCCCTCAACTTACTCAAGGAAGAATTGAACTTCTTTATTGATGACTCCATTACTCTTACCGTAATTCAGGCATTTTATGCAATGAAAATACTGACCTTTTTTTTTTTCATCGTAAAATTTTGTTTGAATCGAAAATAAAGCAGGAGTTGGTGTCCGGAATTGGGCATGAAGTGTATTGTACATGTACATGCATGTACATGTACATGTGTGTAATGGCAGCGCGGCCCAGATTTCGGACACGTATTTTTGTTCGGCCTATTTTCCGATTTTTTTGCCATATGCCAGTTTCATCTCTGTCACTTCAACAATAACATAGTTCAAGAATAGCACACAAATCCAATTCTGTACTCTGATCATCCCATTTTCAGGTCCATCTTAAGGTATGAGACACCACCTCCCATGAAGGTAACAAAAACATCTCGTGAATGTGAAAATATTAACTTAGAGTTGTTCCAGAATCTTCTTGATGAGCGCCTCAGAGATAATGCACAGACTGAAGATGATCTCAATCTTCTGTCTGAAATACACAAGTCCATCACAACAAGTCCAGATTTTGGACACATATTTGACGTATTTTCCAATTTTTTTGCCATATGCCAGTTTCATCTCTGCATTTGGTAACTCTACCCCCAAACTGTTGGACTCTAGTTATGGTGGTATGCCTGACCCCATGTAAAGCATTATCAGTACTCACTCCAACAGAATCAAACAAAACATGCAGTTGGATTTTGAAGGGTTGGGGATGATCAGGGTTAACAAGCAGTCATGGAACTAGTGCATGTCGGTAGTGTACACGCATGAACACCACCCTAGCTACATGAAAGGGTTGATGGCACACACAACGTTTTGTAAAGAAACATAATGAATGACTTTTCTGTCTAGCTGCCACTTCAGATAACATTTCCGACTGCACAGACTTGTTGGTCCGTACACTGCAAGACCTAGGTTTCTCCATGACCTTCTCAAAATCTCAATCAACTTCTCCAACCAAGTCACTCGGACTACATTGGATACACCATAACTGTTGGAAATTCCAATGGCCTTCCTTTCATCAATTTGTTGCGCGTGTGTACGGCTCCCTGTTCCTGTTACAAACTTTAACCTGAGGGCCGGTCAATTTAGAACAAAACAGGGTCTGACCTAGAACAAATTGCATCAGAGTTTATTTTAATGCTATCACCCTAAGGAAATATCACTATTTAACATACTGAAAATCTAATTTCATCAAAGGAGTGAAAAGTGCTTTTATTCACTTTTTCGCTACTAATTTTTCATCATCCGTAAACAGTCGAATGGAGGGCATCATTTTTTATGTGGTGTCCGTTACCCGTCAGAAAATCCGTTCACATCACGTATGAGACTTCGCGAGACACGACTGATCACAGCAGACAACTTTTCTATGTCTACCAATTATTAAAATATATGGTAATTAACACTGTCGCTAAATACTATAGGCTATTTTCTTTAAAAAATATCAAGAAATTTGAAAACAAAATTTTGGCCGAATTATTTATTAGTAAAATAAATTCGCTTTGTGGTCAAGAAACCATATGTTTCAGGGAAAATCTTTGCCTAAACAGGTCTACTTGAAATAAGGCCGGGCAATGATATACCAAATGATATCCATTTTAAGTTAAAATTGAAGTGTCTACGCTAATATGCCAGAGTTCAATTTTAAATGTTAGTGAAAATATCCAAAATCCAAGATTCGTGTGTTCATTTTGTGATGAATTTAGGTCATTGGCATAACTTATAAGTATCCCATATATTGTCAAAAAAATTAATGTATACTCAAAAAAACCTTAATGAAGACAAATTAACTGGATTAAAAGATTGCAGTGAACATTTAGCTGAATTCTGGGCTTTACAGAAAAGAAATATAGGCAGATTGACAAGTGTATACCTCTAAAAAATATTATACGTGCCCCCAGATTGACGCCTTAGGCCAGGGGAGGGGGGGGGGGGTGGTTTGTGGACCATGCCATTTAGATCTTTTTTTTTTTTAAAGTAATAACAACGCGAGGTCTGTTCCATCCAAAGAATCATTGCGTCGGGACTCCAGTATACTTTTCTGGAGTAGGCCTAGTGCATTTCACTCTTGACAGTTTATACAAGCAGATGTCTCAATCAATTTTCATACCTCGATCAGGATCTTCACAATTTAGCTGTTTAAATTACAAAATGTACTCATGAAAAATGTGTGACGTACATGCAAAGCTCATGTACAGAACAACAATAATCTTTAAATAAAGTTTTTTTCGCTTTACTTTCAAAATAGTTCATGCATGCACTGACTAACCATTTTCCATCCGTGTATGATTAAACATGATTTTTAGAAATCCCTTATAGCAAATTATCATATCTCGTCTGTGGACTTATTGCACACTTTAGGCAGAAAATCAGCCACTCTATCCATAGGTGCCCTGCATAACATTGACTGAAACAGACATATTCCCGTAAAAAGTAGAATTTTGAGCCAAGTTAAAAACATGTACTGCTCTTAATATAAAACTCACCAAAAAAATTGTATGTAAAAAGCAAAACGAAGTTGTATGACACACATAGAAACCTTTTTTCCCCCTCAGTTCCACAATGTCCTCTGCTGCAATCGCATGTGGTCATGAATCCTAAACATTAGCATATATTGGCATGCAATCCGAAGCTAGTCACCAGACGAATTATTTGAGGACAAATGTCCCAAGTTTTAATCTCAAAAAATGCTTGAAAAAACACCCTTCCACTCCATAGAATCAATAGATTTTTCACATGTTGTTTGTGTATTTATTTGAAGTTGTTTGATGATTGAACAGTTTCTATTGCAACTTGTTCTGGGTCTTTACTTAAATTGACCAGACTAAAATAGTTTCTCATAAAAACTGTCTTATCGTGTCTCCTAGGGATATATTTTCGTGTAAATCTGGAATCCCATGTGCAAGGCACATACAATGAGCACATAAATATTCAGGGACCTGACCACTGATTATGATGACTTTTGTTATGTCGTCTGCACTTCTTTTCACCGTTTTTGTCTAAATTTTCAGGATGAAAGACTAAAAATCCAGCTTGGTATCCTCACTGTTTGAATCATTGCCTGTCAATTAGGGAACTTGTGAGTTACATGTTTATAAACAAAAACACCTCTTAAAATGTAAACAAATATATTTTAATCTGGCCTAGACTATTATGGGCCAATTACCGGTAGTTATTAAATGACTATCCGGTGTTCCCAAAATGTTCATGGTGCTACATACATGTATTCCCTCTATTAGTATTTTATTTGTACTCCCAACTTTTTTCCCCAAACATCAACGTTTTGTGGACATGTATCTGGCATGTTGTTATTAAAGTCCCAGCTCAATCCCCCACTTCTCCTCACAGTAGTAACATTGAAAAGTTGAAAATGCCATAAGCCTACATGTTTAATTGTAACTCAAATCATAATTGTGACTGATTCATAATTTCTCTGTTTCTACAATAGAGATGAAGTTCACATTTTGCTATGCATGGAAGATAAACCACATTTTCCAATCATAAAGGGAACATCCATTGCAGAGGAGGCATTACGTACATTAGATAAGGTACATACAAATGTTGAAATTAATTAAAGAGCAAACAAAGGTACTTGGTATATAATATAATTATCTCAAATTAGAATACACAAAATACACACTGAAGTGTTTGCAGACTTTCAATGTCATTTATGGGCTAGCTTTTGAGAAACATGTACTTTACAATCATTTTATTGAGATTCAGAGATACATGTTCACATTTTTTGTGTGTGGTAGGTTTATATGGGTTTTCAAAAAGTAGAAGCTGGACATGGTAAAAGCAGTTGTATGTTAGGGATACAATACATGTACATGAATATTCTATCAAATTAGGTTTTGCCCTTCACCGACGTTTAAACACTGTATACTCAGTGTGTTACCTCTCGAGTGAAAGGGAGGTAACACACTGAGTATACAGTGTTTAAACGTCGGTGAAGGGCAAAACCTAATTTGATTTATATCACCCCGATGCAAAATTCCATATTATAATAGTGTATGCGGTACCCACTGCTATGTACATCAGATTCGAACCGGCCAATCGATCCCGTTAGCTCTGTGGTCGAGTGGTAAGACATCTGCACTAGAAAGCAGGAGGTCGTGGGTTCGAGTCCCACCCGAGTGATTTTTTTCCAACTTTCACTTGGGAGGTAACACACTGAGTATACAGTGTTTAAACGTCGGTGAAGGGCAAAACCTAATTTGATTTATATCACCCCGACGCAAAATTCCATATCATAATAATGAATATTCTATCTATAAACAATGGAGATAATAGGTATTCCCTGCCAAATATATCAAACTAACTTTCAAATCCATTTTCATGTGCTTGTATTAAACAAATTTTGCTATTTGAAGGCAGTTTTTCCTGCTGACCATTTTTGAAAAATCACTCAAATTTGTTTTCATAATGCACAATGAAGTTGATGGACTTGATGGAGGATCCACCTTCTTTTTTTCTTTCTTTTTTTCTTTTAAAGGCAATCAATTTCCCACAGTGCTGATTCCTTGGGCAGCGGAACACCCCTCCCCCTCCCCCATTTACCCCTCTTGCAGACATACATGTACCCCCGAGCATAAATGTGCACCCTTCGATAAAAACAAAAGTGCCCCCCAAAATTCAGATAATTTGTTTACAGCAACCATTTCTCAAAATGGTATGTAGAGAGTTCTGATATGAACAAGGAATATGAAAATCAAGCCCCAAAACCCTTACAATGCACTCTAAAAATGGGCACATAATGCGTAGTTTGCATAATGGTCAGTTTTGAAGAGTGGCCCGTATTTTTGAAGATGGTACCAGGCCCCCCCCCCCCCCCCCACCCACTATTTAAATTTACAGAGGCCAAGTGTCCAGGGAAAATAAACATGTCAACATTTCAGCAAGGATTGGGCCCCCCCCCCCAAAAAAAAATGCTGGATATGCTGCTGCACCAAAGATGCATTTTACTGAGCAAGTGCCCCTTGGATCTGGCTGCTGGCTGGGTGATTCAAATAGGAAAGAGAATATGCGAATAATTCTGCCCAAAATTCAGACCTTACATCAATATATGTATTAATATATACAGATTTCCACATCTACATATAGTGGAAGAATGTTGTATACGACAAACTTGTAAGGATTCTAACAAGTCTTGTCTAAAGTATTAAAAGAAAAATTTGAATCACAAAAGTTTGCCCATAAACGTATTTGCAAAACTAACAATACATTGTGGAATGCCTTGACAAATTTAAATGCATTTTGGGCTTGAATTGAATACATATTTTTTTAATACACAAGATACAATTATCTCAGTTGCATACTTCTAAATGAATTATAATGATTATCTCAGTAAATATAATTTTGATTTTAAGCATCTTTCAATTTTGTGCAAAATTTCCATGATACTGTAAACTAGCCTTGTACTTGCACTTGTGCTCATGGCAAAGTACTCATGCGGATACTTGTGCTCATGGCAAAGTACTCATACTCATGGAAATGTACTCGTCTACAACGCTTACTCTTCACTTAAACATTTTCTGTACATTTAGTTTTGTCAACTTGTATTAGGGTTTGTTCCTAATTTGATAATAACCAGTTTGTTTTTATTTATGTGCTAGGAAACTTTCAGTGCTAGCAACGGCTACTTTTTACGTGGTTTATTGTGTATTGAACATCTTGGTCGACCGCATGGCTCTGCTGATGGGGTATGTCTGAACCTACTTGCTGTAACTGACTTCCAGAGGGACCTCAAGAACCCCAATTATATGTGGCATAATATAGCAAACCCTGAAATCAAAACTGCACTTCACAATCGAACACAACAGTATCGTAGTTTGAAGTGCCCATAGAAAAGTAACACTAGGATGTATAACTCTATAGATACGACATACAAATAACAAGCAGGTTTATAGTTTGCATATAAACAGTTGAATATTTTTTATAGCGACATCAAGTTCCTTGCACTTGACCTTCTTGTTACATACATGTACATGTATATGGTGGCAATATTTTATTTTAGTAAAGTTTGTTCCAGTGTTTGTTGTAAATATTAATTTGGAATGTGTAGAAGTTTAAAATATGCTGGTCAAGAGCATTGAAATGTTCATATGGACTTGCTTAGATAAAAAGTGTTGTGGTCAGTGTTAACTTGTGTGTGTTTTGTTAATATGGTATGCTGAAATACATCTTTCTTAATGGCAGTGTGTATACACGTATGAAATCATCAGTTCGTTCATCTATTGCATGGGCCAGGACCCCAAAATTCACCAATGGGTACCACCCGAGTTGGCAAAATCTAGGTGCTATTTTTGGATTGCTGTTATCTCTATATTTTGATATGATAGCCTTTCAATGCGGTAACTTATTATTGGTTATCACCGCTTGAATGTCCT